GAATGTGTGTGTCCTTGAGACCCACCCTGAGATTTGTGTTTCTTTCCACAGGACTACGGTACCGTCACCTAGACTATGGGGGTGTGTCAACATATATTTTATATGTTGTACTTGGATAGTCTAGGTGTTACTGTTTTGCCCTACTTCTAGATTAGGGTTTCATACATATTGCTTGTAACTTTGTCATTCTAGTCAATTCTTAAATTGTATCACCAGGAAGCCATCTCTGAGTCCATGGCTGTCTGCCACTGAGAGGAGTAGGGACCCTCAATCGCCTCTGCGTAAGAGCGCGGGGTCGGGATGTCTGGTGCATCCAGGTCTCCCTCAGGTGAAATCAGCATGGACACGAGATGAGGTGCAGCAGCTGCAAAACTCTCAAAGTCCTCCTGCCTGTCCTCAAGGACGTCCGTGCCAAGAGCACACTCACCCCCGACGGACGGAGGACAGACAGACTCAGACTCAGCAACAAGACTAGCGGCGTAGTCGAGGCGACAGGCGGCAGCAAAGTCAACAAGCTCAGCAACTAGGGCAGACGCAGCAGTGGACTCAATCAAAGGGTCAGTGACAGCAGTGGCTAGAAGACGTGTGACAGAAGGACTGGCAGCGCGAGTAAGGTCTGACGGCGGGTCAGGGATATCGGGAAGAGAGGACGCAGGAGGAGACGGCAGAGGGACACGCTGTGGAACAGAGGAAGGACGAAGTGCCATCTGGTGCGTGCCTGGGACAGGAGGAGGACGCTGACGTGGAACACGATGACCAGTGCGAACAGCGCGAACAGGCGACGCAGGACGAGACGCAGGCTCACGACGCTCTCTAAGGGAGTCTGTCTGCTCAGTGTAAGGAGAAGGAGCAGGCAGTGGGGAGGCTGGCTGTAACTGCGGCTGCGACTGGTTAGGCGGTGGACAAAGTAAGGGAGGAGAAAGGCCAGTAGAAGGCGGGAGACCAAGAACCTGCTGAAGCAGTGGAACGAAGTACGGTCGCGGCCGCACAGTGTCTCCAGAACCAGCACCGACAGCACCAGCACCCCCAGCTCCAACGCCTGCAGCACCTCCAGCTCCAGCAGCTCCAGTACCTCCAGTACGAGCACCTCCGGGACCAGCGGCTCCAGCACCTCCAGCACCTCCAGGACCAGGGCCTCCAGTGGCAGGCCCCTCAGCTCCAGCAGCGCCACTGTGAAGACTCCAGCGCCGAGCAAACCACTCGCGCAGCTGCGGTGGAGAGAGAGGCTCCCGCTGTGACGAGGCACCCGGAGAACCTCCTGTACCTCCAGTACCGCCAGGACCAGCAGCTCCAACACCTCCAGCACCTCCAGGACCAGCAGCTCCAGTGCCTCCAGCTCCATGGCCTCCAGCGGCAGGCCCCCCAGCTCTAGTAGCGTCTTTCCGAAGGCTCCAGCGCCGAGCAAACCACTCGCGCAGCTGCGGTGGAGAGAGAGTCTCCCACCGTGACGAGGCACCAGGAGAACCACCAGCAGACAAAGTACCTCCAGGCGCAACACGCTCAGGCTCAGCACCCCCAAGCTCAGTACCCCCAGGCTCCGCACGCTCAAGCTCAGCACCCCCAGGCTCCGCACCCTCAGACTCAGCAACCCCAGGCTCAGCACCCCTAGGCTCCGCACGCTCAGGCTCAGCACCCCCCGGCTCCGCACGCTCAGGCTCAGCACCCCCAGACGCAGCACCCCTAGCAGCATCACCCCCAGCAGCACCAGAGTCGACAGCGACCTCGACAGGCTCGACAGGGTCTACGTGAGACACACCTGAGGGAGCACGACCCTGAGGGGGGAGGGGGTCTACCGGAGGAGGACCTGGTGCGAGGAAGAGCGGTGGGGGGGGGAGAGGGGCAGTGCGGTAGGGGAAGAGACGGTAAAAGGGAACCGACTCGTCAAACGTGACGTCCTGAGAGGGCAGGACACGGCGCGAGGTGGGGTGGTAAAACTACCAACCAGGCGCGTCAGGGGGAAAGCCAAGGAAGACGCAGGGAATGGCGCGGGAGGAGAGCTTGTCCGCGGACGTATCGCGGACAAAGGCACGAGAGCCCCAGACCCGGAACACTGACGCATCGCCAACCTTCCCCGTCCAACGCAGTGTAGGCGATGTCTTCGGAAAGGAGACACGGGGCCAGAGGTTGAGCTGATGCGCAGCGTACCGGACCGCAAACGGCCACAGAAAATGGGGGGCAGCCGCATGGATCATGGAGGTACGAGCGACCTCCATGGCTAAGCCAATGCGGCGCGCAGCAACCCCATTCTGCTGCGGAGAGGCCGGAAGCGTGAACGACTGGAGAATGCCCTCCCCACGACAAAAGTTCCGCAAGAGGTCGGAGGAAAACTCACCACCTCTGTCAGAGTGCAGACGCAGGACTGGAAGGTCCGTGAGGAACCGCTCGCGGAGCTGGAGACGGACAGCGCGGATCCAAAGGACCAAAACATCAGGGCGAAGCAGTGGGACTGTGTGTGACCAACTGTCCTGCAAGTCTGACCAGTCCGGTCACCTGTTCGAATGACGTACGGGCAGCGAGCAGTACTCCGAGACGCCCCACGCTGAGCGTACCACTCACGAAGCTGCAGGGGCGTAAGGATCTCGCGCGGACTCCGCTGCAGCTGCATCTGGCCACCGCCAGAAACTCCCGACTGACCAGCTCCAGGGCGAGTGCCACTACGGCCGCCGCCACAACCCCAACTAGTGTACCACTCACAAAGCTGCTGGGGCGTGAGGGTCTCGCGCGGATGTCGCTGGAGCTGCATCTGGCCACCGCCAGAAACTCCCCACCGAACAGCTCCACCGAGACTGCCGGTACGGCCGCCGTCACCACTCCCACTGCTGCCACCACCGCCGCCACCACTCCCACCGCTACCACGAAGAGACGTCATAGCGGGCACTAGGGTAGGTCAGGGCGGCGGTCAGCAGGGCGGCGCGCAGGCAAGGCAGGGTCGGGCGGCGGCCAGCAGAGCGGCTCCCGAGCAGGGCAGGGCGGTGCGGCAGCGAGCAGCGCGCAGGCAGGGCAGGGCGGCGCGGCGGCGAGCGGCGCACGGGCAGGGCAGGGCGGCGCGGCGGCAAGCGGCGCGCGGGTAGGGCAGGGCAGGGCGGTGCGGCGGCAAGCGGCGCGCGGGCAGGGCAGGGCGGCGCGGCGGCGAGTGGCGCGCGGGCAAGGCAGGGCGGCGCGGCAGCTAGTGGCATGCGGGCACGGCAAGGCGGCGCGGCAGCGAGTGGCGTGCGGGCAGGGCACGGCGGCGCGGCGCAGCGACGAGCGGTGCGTGGGCAGGGCAGGGCGGCGCGGCGCGGCGACGCGCGGCGCGCTGGCAGGGCAGGGCGGCGCAGCGCGGCGACGCGCGACGCGCTGGCATGGCACGGCGGCGCGGCGCGGCGATAGCGGCGCGCGGGCAGGGCAGGGTGGCGCGGTGCGGCGACAAGCGGCGCGCTGGCAGGGCAGGGCGGCGCGGCGCGGCGACGGGCGGCGCGCGGGCAGGGCAGGGCGGCGCGGCGCGGCGACGAGTGGCGCGGTGCGGCGACGAGCGGCACGCGGGCAGGGCAGAGCGGCGCGGCGCGGCGACGAGCGGCGCACGGGCAGGGCAGGGCGGCGCGGCGCGACGACGAATGGCACGCGGGCAGGGCAAGGCGTGCGCGAACGGTGCGACGCGGGGCAGGGCAGCGCGGCACTAGTAGAGCGGCACGACGGGTGGGGTAGCGCTACACGGGCAGCGAGCTATACGGTGGGCCCTAAAAAAAAAAAACAGTCCTAGGAGAGGACCTGCTCTGAAACCATGTCAGAATAATGAACGAGAATGAATGAACTAGCAGCATGCAGGAGCACAAGTAGCAAACCCTAATTGGGTTGTACCCCATATGGGCTACCCCACTATAGCCTACACAACAAGTAACCTATAAGTTTGACACGATGCCGCTCCGGAAGGGATTGCCCACCTGAAAAAACTGGACACCCTGGTGCTTGACCACACCAAGATCACAAACGCGGGAGTGGCGAGGCTGCAAGAGCTGTCTGGCCTCACGGCACTGTGCATGACCGGATATGCGTCTGTCACGTCTGCCAGCATGGTGCATGTGGGCAGAATGACGTCACTGCAGTGGCTCACACTGAAAGGTAGTGGAGTGACGGAGGATGGGCTGCAGCATCTGACTGCCCTCGCTTCTCTCAAGTTCTTCACTATGCCTCCGGGGGTGGGTGACACAGGCATACAGCACCTGAGGAATATGAAGTGAATGGAGAAGTTGGGACAGTGATTCTAGAATCACTGCGTCAGGTATGAAGTGGCTCAAGGACCTTCAGTGCCTGCAGAAGGTTGCAACTAACTTGTACGAGTTAAAGGAATTGCTACAGGACGTTCTACCAAAAGTGATTGTTACATCTGGTTTGCTCAATGTGTGATGTATAAATCAGGGATTACATGTCTGTTGGGCTGACATCGTTAGAGAAAGTCAATGTGTTGCAGCAGAAGCCTCTTGTGTGATGGAATCACAAATACAGTATCAACGTCAAAGGTGTGACTCAACTCAACTTGCAAACATGTGCTGGAAAAAAATATTACTATATTATAATGTATGAACTGCCTACAGTGTTGACTCCACGTCCGAGCTGTGTGAGCGTCCAGATTTTGGTGGTGATGTCTACGAATGACTGCTCCCAAACCAACCAAGCAGGTAATGGATGGGAATGAAGGCATCGGGTCAGCCCACATTACAGATGATCTTTCACCTCAGCACTACTTGCACTCGTTGCACCCTAAGCAGGCCTCCCAAGAGCCTTCCTTAGCTCAGTCCACATTCCAGCCTCCCAGCCTTCCTCGTACGAGCACATTGTAGCTCGACGTTGTACGGTGGCAGTAGTAAATGGCGATGACGGGAGGCTTGGAGTTGAAGCTAAACGGATTTGTTGTGAAGGTGCAAGCAACGCCGGAGACATCGGGAGAGGTAACGGAGATAGTCGTAGGCGTGAAGAAGGGAGCGGAGGAGTTAGAAGCTCGGGTAACGAAACAAGGTGAGGCCATGGCAGCCCTGAAGCGAGAGATGGACGAAATGAGGCGCGCGATGGCGAAGGGGGCGCTGGATATGATGGGAGCGGCGGGGGGGAACCACGGCGCTGGCAGTGCCGCGGCAGGAAAGGCAGGAGAGGACGTAGACGGCCTTCCAGCGCAGGCGCCGCCGAAGGGCGAGGCGCTTATGGCCCTGGTGGAGGCCATGATCGCGGCGCGGGTGAAGGACGTGCGGGACGAGGTTGAGTCGCAAGTGCAGGGATTGAAGGAGCAGCTGGAGGCGGCGAGAGGCGAGGCGAGAGACGCGGCGAGCGAGGCGAGGGCGGTGATCGCGCGGCAGGCGACGGAGATAGCGGACGTGCGCGCGACAGCGGCGCACATTGACGCGCGGATGAACGACGTGGAGCTGGCGGTGGCGGAGTGGAAGGTCGCGCGGGAGACGCCGCGCGCCGAGCGCAGCGACGGTAGCGACGGCAGCGACGGCAGCGCGAAGGAGCGTGCAGAGGCGGAGGAGGCGCGCGAGGGGAAAAAGAGGAAGCGGGAGGTCGCCGGGAAAGGGGATGAGCTGTCAGAATTTGCTGGTGCGGCAGATGATGATACGGCTGCTGATGAGAAGCGGGATGAAGCGGAGGAGGAGGACACGGTAGTGGAGGTGGAATGGCAGGAAGTGAAGGGCTGGTTGTTCGCGGTGGGAAGCAGAGTGGCGAAGCTGGAGACGACGAGTGACGAGGGAAGGAGGATATGGGAGGTGAGTGCTTCAATGAGTTGAGTTGGCTCCAGGAAACTTTTGTTTCTGTGACTAGTAGCACGACAAAACCGATGGCATGACGCGTGCTAGCACGCCCTGGTGCCGTCGTTACCATCGCCCTCACACCTCACTGTGTCTAGTACCCCGCTCTCAGCTGTCACTCCATCGTGCTTGTGGCTGCCATCTTGTTTGCCCTGCCTGCAGGCAATGCTCACTCTGTGGGCGGCAGCAGTGCCAGGGCAGACTCGAATGGACCTCAGCGGCATCTCCTGCCTCACAGACACTGCTCTTACTCACCTCACCTCGTTGCACTACCTCAAATCCGTCAACCTCAAAGGCTCCTCCGGCTTCACTGCAGCAGGGATGAGGAAGCTGTACTCTCTTGCAGGCCTGGTCCGTCTGGAACTGGGTTCCTCTGCCACAGCTGATGCTGATCTGGAAGGTATTGCCTGCCTCAAGAACCTGCGCAGCCTTGCAGTTAGCAACACCGATATCTCAGACGTGGGAGTGGCGAGGCTGCAGGAGCTGTCTCGCCTCACGGCACTGTCCATGACCGGATGTATGTCTGTCACATCTGCCAGCATGGTGCATGTGGGCAGAATGACATCGTTGGAGTGCCTCACACTGCATGGTAGTGGAGTGACGGAGGATGGGCTGCAGCATCTGACTGCCCTCACGTCTCTCAAGGTATTCACTCTGCCTCCAGGTGTGACGGACTCGGGCTTAAAGCACCTGAGGAGCATGAAAAGTCTGGAGAGGCTTTCACTGAAGGATGCTAGAATCACCGCATCAGGCATGCAGTGGCTCAAGGGTCTGACATCCCTCCAAAAGGTTGGGACTTCTTCGAGTGAGGTCGAGGAATTCGTAAGGGACATTCTTCCGGGGGTAATTGCTACATCAGGTCCCCTCAATACGTGACGTATCAAAATCAGGGATAGTGATGATATGCGTCTAGTGCATGTTAGGTAGAGAGATCTTTAGGAGTAGTCAAGCTATTGCTGGTCGTGTTATGTCAACTCGGTATCAGAACAGACAATGTTGAGAACGTGATCCGTATGTTGGTCAGAGGGCCTATTGTTTTTATATTTTTTACTCTGATTATCAGTGTATCTTTGCTGAAAATCCTGATAATCAGTGTAGGTTGTAGAGGCTACTTTTGACCGTTAGTGTAACTGGTGATTATGAAAATGTTACCGAGCCTACAGTGTAGGTTTTTGTCAAAGTAAGGAGGTAACTAAGAGTAAGGATGCCTAGGCTTAGGAGCCTAGGCAAGGAGGGTGTCGAGGAGATGGTACCAAGGGAAGCCAAGAAATGGAGAGGCGGCTGCTGGAGTGAGGAGAGGAGTGCAGATGTGGCGGTTTGCTGGTCATCCCCGCCACCCCCTCATCCCCCCCCCCCCTCACGACCGTAAACACGGGCGCGAGAGAGAGGGAAGAGAAGGGCCGCGGGCTGTTGCTGCATAGTAACTCCCGCCACACCCTAATCCCCCCTCTCCCCCCCCCACGGTGAAGCCGCGGCAGGGAGGTGGTGCAGCGCGCGCTGCTGCGCCTGGTCGCGAATTGGTGGCGTGGGGCGCGCTGGCGACCGTCGCCGGGGCTGGCGCTGGCGCTGGCGACTGTCGTAGGGGCTGGCGCTGGTGCTGGCGACCGTCGTAGGGGCTGGCGCTGGTGCTGGCGACCGTCGTAGGGGCTGGCGCTGGCGCTGGCGACCGTCGTAGGGGCTGGCGCTGGCGCTGGCGACCGTCGTAGGGGCTGGCGCTGGCGCTCGCGTTGGCGCTGGTCGCTGGCGCTGGTCGCTGCCCTGGTCGCTGGCGCTGGTAGCGCAGCTGACGTGCTGCTGGGTGGGGCTACGGGCGGGCTGCAACTGCACGGCAAAGGGGCGACAGTGCTAGCCATGTAGGCAAGTGGTGGGCCCATTAGGATCGGGTCCTAGGCAGGAACCCGCTCTGATGCCATGTCAAAGTAAGGAGGTAACTAAGAGTAAGGATGCCTAGGCTTAGGAGCCTAGGCAAGGAGGGTGTCGAGGAGATGGTACCAAGGGAAGCCAAGAAATGGAGAGGCGGCTGCTGGAGTGGGGAGAGGAGTGCAGATGTGGCGGTTTGCTGGTCAACAGTTTTATATTTACCCTGATTTTATTACAGAGCCAGTTTTTAACGGGTCTACCACGATTTTCGACGATGCGCGTAATTTCGCCTCGTCTCGCGTTGTGCTTGAACAACACCCCGCACCGCACCGGCCTTGTCTGTTGTGTCCACGTCCAAGTTTTGAGAGAGTGTGGCGTGTTTCGGTGTCTGGAACGGTAATTATGAATTGCAGAGTGGTTAGTGTACATTCCAGTGTGTTCATTCACATTGTAAGGAAAAATCCTTTTCCTTACTTCGCGTCCCTGCTTACCGCGTACATGCCTGTTCCCGCCATCGGCACCCATCCGTGAACGTTACCCGCTCGCGACGTTCGCCTCGACCACGGCTCCCGCCACTGTTCACGATGCGACCCAACCTAACGGTTCGGTTGGTAACCCGCGCTCCGGACCTCCGCCTCGACAATTCCCAATCTCGACGCTAGGCCCGTAGCGCACCCCAATTTCCCGCATTACCGTTACCATGCTAGCTTCGCTATATAACTTCGCTCATGCTTTTCGCTCAACTGTATTGTTTTTCTTTGTTAGTGCAATTCTCGCTCGCTCACTCAATTGCACTCGTAACACTTGGTATTCAGAGCCTACGATCTCCTCTCGAACCGCGCCCACACCTTCGTTTCCCCATTATCTCAATTTTGGGGGGGGTAGACGTCTCTCAGCGAACAAGCACCGCCGCTCGAAGTGCTCTCTCGTAAGCACGCACGGCCACGACAGAGGCTCTCGCTGAGTTTGCCCGACACCCCCGCCATGGCCGAAATTATTCTCGCGACATTGATGTTAGTAGAGCTACACTGTGAGATCCCCGATCGATCCTAGGGGGGGTTACAGGCGCGTTTGCCTTGGGGGTTATGGGCGCACTGACCCGCTACTGAAACAAGCCCTTTTATCCCAATGGTCTAGTGGTTGGGATTCTGACATGGTATCAGAGGGGTCTCGGGTTCGAATCCCGGTGTATGCACATGTAGGCCGTTGCCACTGTGCTCAGTCCTGGGCCTCCCAGTGTGGGGGGGTGTTAGTAGAGCTACACTGTGAGATCCCCGATCGATCCTAGGGGGGGTTACAGGCGCGTTTGCCTGGGGGGTTATGGGCGCACTGACCCGCTACTGAAACAAGCCCTTTTATCCCAATGGTCTAGTGGTTGGGATTCTGACAATTGACGCAGGAGCAGCTCGACCGTCTCGTGCGCCAACTCGAAGATTCGGCGCTCGAAATCGCGACACTCACGGCGGAACGTGACTCCGCCCGCCAGCAATCAACGGTGAATGCACCAGCACCAACACAAGCACCTGCAAATGCATCTGCGCAATCGGACGAGCCGATTGTTATCTCATCCGGCACACCGTCACAACATGACAGCGTGGGACAGCGCTCAGGCGCAGCCAGTGATGGCGCCGCCCAATCAATTCCTGGCATGGGGAGGAACAGGGGCGCACCAAGCACGAGCGGACCTCGCGAAGCTCGTCGTCACGTTGAGTTTGCGGCGACCGTCGGCAACAACGACATCGTCGCGCCAATGCCGCTCAAACCGCAGCGCCCGCCCTGCTTCGACCAGAGCCAACGTGGAGGTCCGACGGTTCAATCGTGGGTCTTCACGATGAACGTTTTCTTCGACGCGAATTACGTCGAGTCGGACGCAGCGAAGATTCGCCACGCTGTTTCGCTGCTGAGGGGCCCCGCCATGGACTGGTGGCGAGTCATCGTGACGTCGCCACGCGCCTACGAGCCACCGTCGCAAGAGGAAGAGCCCACGGGCCCAGCCGTCACCTGGAGTTCATTTTGCGAAACCGCCCAGTACAGCACGTGGGATGCGTGGTGCGCAGGGCTTCGGGCGCGCTTCGAGCCGATCGCGGCTTCTATTTCGGCGCGTCAGAGACTGCGTACTTGGCGGCAGCTCGGATCAGTTCAAGACTATACGAGCGGTTTTCTCGCATTATGCGAGCAAGTCGGCTACATGCACGAAGCGGAGCGGGTGGACCGTTACGTCGGAGGGCTGAAGCCGGACATCTCGCACGAAATCATGCTGCGCGGGCTCTCGAATTTTAACGAGATCCTCGCGCTCGCCAAGAAAATCGACATTTTGCGCCGTCCGAGACCAGGGTCCTATTACGGACATCGCCCTCGGGGACCGATCGAGCACGCCACCGTACACGCCGTTGCGACGAATGCAGCTGCCGCGCCGTTTAAGGGGCGCTGCTTTGCTTGCAACAGGCCGGGCCATCGCAAAAGCGAGTGCCCAGAGGAGCTAAGGCGCCGCAGAGCAGAGTAGGGGAGGGAGTCTCAGAGGCAGGGAAACGCCAGCAGTCAGTAGAAATTGGGCCAACTACTGACGAGACTGCCTGCTCGGCCAACCTCACCGACCCTCGCTGAGTCACAGTACCGATTCACGCTATCGATCGGGCTCGGATGAATAAGGAGGGTACAGCGACGAATTGCCCAGTACTGATTCACGGGAAAATGCAGGGAGCAGCAGTGAAGATTTTTATCGACGGAGGAGCAAGTCACAACTTAGTTAATACCGCAACCGCACGGAAGCTGCAGCTGACACTTAGTCGGTGTTTACCGGAGATAGATGCACGCTTAGTCGACGGCACGCCGCTGGCCATACGGGAGAAGGTGGAAAGAGTAAAAGTCCGCTGCGGGGGGAACTTTGGGTTTACACTGGAAATGCTCGCGACGACACTGGATGGGCACGACATTTTACTGGGACGTGACTGGCTGCGACGGTATAATCCGCGAATCGACTGGACGACGGATAGCTGCACTGTGCGAAGCAGCGGTAACTGGGTCGTGCTACCTCGCTGGCAGTCGCCCGAGTCTTCAACGGTCCACGTCAACGCCATCACGATGAAACGGGCTGTCGCCGTTGGAGCTGACGTGTACGCAGTGGATATAGCACTGGTAGGAGAAGCAGTGCAGTCGAGCGATTTTCAGAAACTGCTGGCAGCGGTACCGCTCAAACTACAGGAACTGTTGAAACAGTACCCGGGGATTTTTCCGGACGATTTACCAGAGGGACTGCCACCTCAGCGGGCACATGACCACCGAATAGAGTTAGAACCGGGGGCACAGCCAACTGTACAGCGACACTTCCGACTGACACAGCCAGAGCTCGATGATCTGAGGAAGCAGTTAGATTACCTGTTAGAGAAAAAAATCATCCGACCGAGCTCGTCACCGTTCGCCGCACCGATACTGTTCACACCGAAAAAAGATGGGGGTTTTCGCGTGTGTATCGACTACAGAGCACTGAACAGGGTAACAGTCAAGTCGCGATACCCCATTCCCCGAGCCGACGAACTGATAGATCAACTACGAACAGCACGGGTCTTTTCGAAAATTGACTTACGCGGAGGTTACCACCAGATTCGGGTCGAACCATCGGACTGCGTAAAAACGGCATTTAGAACTAGGTATGGGTCATTCGAGTACACCGTGATGCCATTCGGGCTGACCAACGCACCGGCGACATTTCAGATGACCATGAACGAGGCGTTTAGACCACTCTTAGATAAATGCGTGATAGTTTACCTCGACGACATCCTAGTCTACAGTCGCGATAAGCAGCAGCACTTAGCAGATCTGGAAGCAGTGTTTAAAGTTTTAGACGAGCACAGACTACTGACCAAGGGTTCCAAGTGCGAGTTCTTCCAGGATAGGTTAGAATTTTTGGGGCATGTTATTTCGGAGGCTGGAGTTGAGATCGACCCAAAGAAGCTGGACACGGTAAAAGCATGGCACCCCCCGACGAACATCACGGAGCTGCAGAGTTTTTTAGGGTTCGTTAATTATGTGCGTCGGTTCGTCCCCGACATGGCACGGTTAACCGCCCCACTGACGGATTTACTGCGGAATGGGGTCGTTTTTACGTAGGGGGAGAAAGAGCATGCTGCCTTCTCTGCCCTGAAAAATGTTCTCTGTTCACCGCCCGTACTGCGCATCGCCGACCCACACCGCCCATTCGAAGTAGTTACAGACGCAAGCGATATCGCTATTGGAGCCGTACTGCTACAGGATTTCGGCAACGGTTTACAGCCCATCGCATACGAGTCAAGAAAACTGCATCCGCCCGAGAAGAATTACCCGATACACGACCGCGAAATGCTCGCGATCGTGCATGCATTCAAGGTCTAGCGCTGTTACTTGACCGGCACAGACGTGACAGTACGGACAGACCACAGATCACTACAGTACCTCCGCGCACAGCCCGACCTCAACCCACGACAGATCCGTTGGCTCGATTTCATCGAGTCAAACTTCCACTACACGGTCACCTATAAAAAGGGAGCATCGAACATTGCCGACGCACTGACCCGCCCAACTGCCCAGATCCACGCCATACTACTCGCACAGATCAGCCCGCTACTGACAGGCCTATTTACCCACGGGTATCAGACAGACCCCTTCTTTACTGGAGGCAACTCGCAGCAGTTCGCAGCAGCAAAAGGGGTGTACTACGTAAAAGCCGGCACCGACCGCATCTAGGTACCGGGCTACACTTTACTAAGGGAACTGTTACTACAGGAGGCACACGACGGGGTTACCTCAGGACGTTTCGGGGTAGAAAAAACACGGCAGCAGCTGCAACGGTATTACTACTGGCCCGAGATGCTGACCGACGTGCAACGACACGTGGCATCGTGTCCCACCTGCCAGCTCATGAAATCGTCACGACAAAGACCGGCAGGACAGTTGCAGCCGATACCACCCCCAGAGCGTGTTTGGCAGTAGGTGACGATGGATTTCGTCACGGGGTTACCGGATGGAGCAAGTGGGAACGAAGCGATCCTAGTCGTCGTCGATCGGCTGACGAAGATGGCACACTTCGCAGCCTGCAAGAAACCAATCACAGCCGAAGAAACAGCCCGCCTCTTCATCTCCACCGTCGTTCGACTGCACGGGATACAATCATCAATTATCAGCGACCGCGACACGAAATTCACCAGCAACTTCTGGCGAAACCTGCGGCAGCAGTTCGGCACGCGACTACAGTTCAGTTCATAATACCACCCCGAAACCGACGGACAGACAGAACGGACCAATCAGACCATGGAACAGCTCATCCGAGCCACGTGCGACGACCCGACCACGTGGGAACAGCAACTGCCACTCATCGAGTTCGCGTACAACAACTCGCCATCTGCCACGACCCAACAGTCACCGTTTTACCTGAACTACGGACAAGACCCCACAGTACCCATGACCTCGAATCCCGACAACCCAGTCCCACGCGCGCAACAGTTCGCAGAAATACTGCAAACAGCACGGACCCGAGCAGCAGAAGCAATAAAAAAATCAAACGTCATCGCTAAGCGCAACGCCGACCGACACCGCCGCCCCGTCACTTACCAACCCGACGACCTGGTATTACTCGACACTCAAAGCCTCCGCCTGCCCATCACCCCAAAACTCCGCCCCCGATATTGTGGGCCATTTCGCATCAGCCACATGATCACACCCGTCACCGCCCACCTCCTCATCCCTGCTGACTGGTACGTCAGCCCGTCATTCCACGTCAGCCTGCTTCGCCCATACGTACCATCCACCAGCCAACTGCCTCGCAACCGCCCCGCGAGCATGACACGACCACCGACAGAGCCAATCATCACGCCCGAAAAAATTCTGAGCCACCGAGTACGTGACCCACGGGGAGCCCGCAGGATCGAATTTCTGATCCGCTGGAAAGACCGCACACCGAAGACAACTGGGTTCCCCTGGATAGAATTGAGAATCACCCTGTGATGACTGAGTATCTGCGTAGCCGAAATTTTCGAGATGTACACGCGCTCTCGTAAGAGGGGCCTCCTTGGGGAGGGGGGTAGTGTAAGGAAAATTCATTTTCCTTACTTCGCGTCCCTGCTTACCGTGTATATGCCTGTTCCCGCCATCGGCACCTATCCGTGAACGTTACCCGCTCGCGACGTTCGCCTCGACCATGACTCCCGCCACTGTTCACGATGCGACCCAACCTAATGGTTCGGTTGGTAACCCGCGCTCCGGACCTCCGCCTCGACAATTCCCAACCTCGGCGCTAGGCCCGTAGCGCACCCCAATTTCCCGCATTACCGTTACCACGCTAGCTTCGTTATATAACTTCGCTATATAACTTCGCTCATGCTTTTAGCTCAACTGTATTGTTTTGCTTCGATAGTGCAATTCTCGCTCGCTCACTCAATTGCACTCGTAACACACATATATGATTACTGTAAGCGGGGGGGAAGTTCAACCCAATGTTGACGATTTCTGAACGACACATGGACAAGCCGCCTCCCAAGCCAACGTGGGCCAGACGAGCTACTGGAACAGGTTCATTTCAGGAAAAGCTTTCCCGTCGTCTCCTGATTGCCTTGTAAGCATTACTCCCAACAGCCTCAGCTCAGTCCACAATCAAGCCTTCCAGGTTTCCTCGCACGAGCGCTGTCTAGTTTGAAGTTGTACGATCGCAGTTCCAAATGGCGATGGCGGGAGGCATGGAGTTGAGGCTAGACGGAGTGGTCGTGAAAGTGCAACGAGCAGAGACGGCGGGAGAGATGAGGGAGATGAGCGCAGGCGCGAAGGAGCGAGCGGAGGAGTTGGAAGCGCAGGTGAAGAGGCAAGGCGAGGCCATGGCAGCTCTGAAGCGAGAGGTGGACGAAATGAGGCGCGCGATGGCGAAGGGGGCGCTGGAGATGATGGGAGCGGCGGGGGGGAACCACGGCGCTGGCAGTGCCGCGGCAGGAAAGGCAGGAGAGGACGTGGACGGCCTTTCAGCGCAGCCGCCGCCGAAGGGCGAGGCGCTTATGGCCCTGGTGGAGGCCATGATCGAGGCGAGGGACGCGGCGAGCGAGGCGAGGGCGGTGATTAAGCAGCAGGCGGCGGAGATAGCGGACGTGCGCGCGACAGCGGCGCACATTGACGCGCGGATGAACGACGTGGAGCTGGCGGTGGCGGAGTGGAAGGTCGCGCGGGAGACGACGCGAGAGGAACGCAGCGACGACAGCGATGGTAGCTCGAAGGAGCATGCAGAGGCGGAGGAACGCGAGGGGAAGAAGAGGAAGAGGGAGGTCAAAGGGGATGAGCTGGCAGAACTCGGTGGTGCTGCGGACGACGATGCAGCTTCTCATGATAAACAGCGGGGTGAAGCGTACAACTCGAAATGGGAGGTTGAATGTCAGGGGCTGAGGAAGTCGGTGGAGGCGGTAGAAAGCAGAGTAGCGAATCTGGAGAAGACGAGTGGCGAGGAGAAGAGGATATGGGAGGTGAGTGCTGCCCCGTGCTAGCCGGTCTACATCGTACTTCCTTATCCCTGGGTCAGGAGTATGTTGTTTTCGCCGCTGGTTTGAAAATAACACGTGACAGGCGTGGTTAGTTGATGGTTCATGCACCGTCCCCCTCACTTAGTGCAATACCTCTCTCCAAATTGGTACTTGATTGTGCTTTTGTCTGCCCTACCTGCAGGCAATGCTCACGCTGTGGGCGGCAACAGCACCAGAGCAGACTCGAATGGACCTCAGCGGCATCTCCTGCCTCACCGACGCTGCTCTCACCCGCCTCGCCTCGTTGCGCCACCTCACACTGGTCGACCTGGATGACTCCTCCGGCTTCACAGCAGCAGGGATGAGGAAGCTGTACTCCCTCACAGACCTGGAGCATCTGGTATTTGGGGGCACCATTGCAACTGATGCCTCTCTGGAAGGCATTTCCCGCCTGATGAACCTGCAAATTCTCGTGCTGGACAACACAAATATCACAGACGCAGGAGTGGCTAGGCTGCAAGAGCTGTCTGGCCTCACGGCCCTGTGCATGGCCGGATGTGCGTCTGTCACGTCTGCCAGCATGGTGCATGTGGGCAGAATGACGTCACTGCAGTGGCTTACCTTGAATGGTACTGGAGTGAGGGAGGATGGGCTGCAGCATCTGACTGCCCTCACTTCTCTCAAGTTATTCACTTTGCCTCCACGTGTGACTGACTCGGGCTTAAAGCATCTGAGAAACATGAAACGCCTGGAGAGGCTCTCACTGAAGGATGCTAGAATCACTGCAGCAGGTATGAAGTGGCTCAAGGGTCTAACGTCCCTCCACAAGGTTGGGACCTCTTCGAGTGAGGTGGAGGAATTCTTAAAGCCAGGGTCTCACGTACTACAAGTGTTTTGCAGTTGATGGTGAAAGTTTGGCTGTGATTGGTTGGCGAGGTGTAAGGTTTGAAGTGGGGTGAAGCGAGGGGTGCGAAGCGAACACAAATCGTTGGGGGTACCCGAACCTTCTAGGCTTGGAAACTTGGTTCGGAGCCAGCCCTAAAATGCCCCCAAATCATCGAAAGTATCAAGTACCCAAAAGTGTTGTGCAATTGCTTCTGGAGCAGTGACGGGGTGTGTCGCAAGCTGAGTTTCCAACCCAACCAGAGACAACTTCGCCAGCACTAACTTGGTTACCTAGCTTCAAGTGTTTTGCAGTTGATGGCTCCTTAGGTTACATGAGACCCTGGCTTTAAGGGACATCTTCCGGGGGTTATTGCGACATCAGGTCCAATCAATTCGTGATGTACAGCAAAACACTCTTATTGCTTGTTGCGATGAAAGCTTTACAAGACTAGCTGTTGCAGCTCGACTGCTGATCCTGTAAATTCAACTTGGTACCCAATCAGACAATGTTGATATTGAGCCTCGCGTTTTGTAGGCACAGGGGCTCTCTTAGAATTTACCCCTGATACTGTATTACGTACGAAGCGTGGGTTTTTTTTTCAAGACGGATCACATAACACAGCGCATGACTGAACTCTAAGCTTGCTTTGCAGTAACCCGCGTCACCTCAATTCACCTCACTTCACTTCACCTCACCTCAGATACTGTGGTCCTACAGACCTGACCTGATGATACAAGCAATAGCATGGTGCTGCTTACTTCTGTCCAGAGGTACCCTGCGCCTGGCGAGTCATTTCCACTATCAGGTCCTTCACATCCCTGCATATGCACACACACAATGGGGGGCATGAAAGGAGAGGGCATACCGTATCCAAAGGTATGGATTGACAAGGGCAGGGGAGTGTTTCAGCAGAGACAGACAGTGAGAAAGCTGCCTGTAGCAATCATTGACAATGACGCGCGGCAGTTCCCCTCTCCGCTTCCCCCCTCCCCCTTACCCCCTCAACCTCCCATCCCTCCCTCCCCCCCCCCCTTTCCCTTTCCTTCCCCCCCTCTTCCCCCCTCTCCCCCCCTTTGACTGTACACAAGTCATTGCTCTCTACCCTCTCACACATCTCCCCACTCGCTCGCTAGACCCTCACTTTCTGCTGGCGGCAGGGCGGGGGAAGGGCAGGCGCACTCGAGACAGCTGGCCCTTGAGAGGCGTCTGGTGGTTGCCATGCGGGGTGGGGGTGGTGGGCATGGTGTGGGAATGGTGGGGTTGGTGGCATGAGGGGATGAAGGTGATGAAGTTGATGGTCAGCATGGTTGCAATAAAGGGGAACAGATGGTTGGGGTTTGGCCGGGAGAGTGGAAGGAATGGAGCGACGAGATTTTGCAGGAATGGGAAAAGCGAGGCGGAAGCTGTTTGCTCAGCAAAGCTTGAGAGAGAAGAGGATGGCACTGTTTGCACAGTGAACACTGCAGAGTCACACACACATCCCACTATGGCATGCAGTGGCAGCTACATGCATGGCGCGTGGGGCGGTGCTGCATGCATGCATGGCATGTGGGAGTGTCACGGCAACTGACCTCCACCAGGAATCCAAAGCGGTCCACATAGAGGATCTTGGCCGATGGTACCTGGTGGCAACACGGCGAGGCATAGGATAGGATAGCACGGTGCGAGGGGTAGTAGGATGGACAGTGAGGGACGAGTACAGTTGAATACACACAGTGGACACAGTGAATACACAGTGAGGTACGACTGTTGAATACACAGTGAAGAGCTGCGTCACTCGGAGCAACCTCAGTCAGTGCTCGATTGATTGAAAGCGAGCGTGCATAGTGAGAGGACAGGACAGCAAGGGCCAGATAACGAATCAACGGCCTTGCACATGGAAGTGCGCGATTGAACACAGATAGCAGAGCTTGCAGTCATCGATTGATGGAGCCAAGAAAAGGCATGCGCAGCATGCTGCATGCACTGCACTAAGCCCGGCTTACCTCCACCCACGCATGCAGTAGGTTAGGCGCTAAGACACACACACCCCACGCGCTGCAATGGCAGCAGGGCATGACATGGCAGCAACAACGTGCTGCATGCAGTGCACTGAGACCGGCTCACCTCCACATGCAGAGCCGCATGCACCATGGCTCTGATGGCGTCCTCATGGTCACTGTTCATGTGCGCCTGGCACGGGACATTGGCGTGTTATAGTGGGGTGGGGCGTCATGTGCAACGCGTGGGTGGGGTACAGTGAAGTGAAGTGCAAACAGGCGAGGAAAGCAGAGAGGGTGAGAGCAGTGTGCATGCGCGCTGTCATGTTGGTGTGAACTTGACCAGGTGCTGTGCTGTTAATGCAGACAGGCACTTGCAGTACACACCACAATTGCATTGCAGCACCAACTAGAACGAAAAGGCCAGAATACCCTGTACACGTACCCTCACATCCCCATCCATCATCACCCTCACACCCCCATCCATACCTGGCATCAACAACCTTCCAACATACCCTGTTCCAGTGAGCTGCGGTGCTTAGGAGATGGTTTAAGCAAGTAGGAAAGACTCGTAAAGCCAAAAAGTAGCAAAACCGAGAGTCATATCCATCATCACCCCCATCAACAACCAGTGACGCTCACCTCTCACCCCCGCTTTCCAGTCCCTCTCACACCCCCCTTCATCCCCGCCCCACCCCCCTCCCATTCCCCGCCCAGCAGCCCTTCGGGGCGTGGCTCACAGCAATGGGAGCTTCAAAGGGGGCGATGGGGTCGGGCATTGCCCCTGCATACTCCTGTGGTGATAGCTCTGGGGGGGAAGAGGTGGGCGAGGGGGGGGAAGGGGAGTGAGAGGAGGGTGGTGGGTAGAGGGGGAAGAGGAGAAAGTGTGGAGTGAGGTGGGGTTGCAAGATGCAAGCAGGTGGGGAAAAGGAACAATGCGGGGAAGACAGGGCATGGAAGGCAGGCAGGGCATGGGAGGCCTAGCAGTGGAGAGGAAGAGTGGAAGTCACAAGAGGAGTGCTGCAACTTGGCGGAAAGGAGTGAAACGGGAGGCAAAAGCCGAGAGAATGTGACAGTCGCATTACGTTCCATCCACAGGAAGCATATGCATGGAGATGGGTTGATTGAGATGGGGGAGAGCAGTCAGGGGCAGAGTATGAGTTGGTTGAGGGCGTGAGAGTGAGCAGCACGGGGAGGATAAAGGAGGTGAGAGGAGCAGAGCAGGAGGAAGCAAAGATGAGGAGAACATGGATGGAGGGAGCCGAACCTACCAGACACAGATGCCCCAGCTGCGAAGGTTGCCACGTTGCCTGTCATGCGCACCTGTGTAGTGCGAGGAGGGTTGACGGAGAGGCAGCCAGCAAGGGAGGGAGAGGGTGAGAAGGAAAGAAAGGGGAAGTGGCATAGCAAAATGGATGAAGGGGTGAGAGCGGTGAGTAAAGCAGCAGATTAATTGCACTCTCTCCCTAGTCCAGGAGAGAAACACAGTGAATGCGAGCAGCACTGCGGACACCCCAGGTTGGCAAATCGGTGCAAAACAATCTGGAGTTCACCCACACACCTCATTCACACCACCTCCTCTACCCACCCACACACATGTTCCCCTGCATTACTTCTCTGTGCTAAAGCTCTTAAGGCTCTCACTGCATTCATGAACTATCCACTGGAAGGAAAGTGAGGACAGGCCTGCACACCACCCCCGCCCTCCCTTGCCCCCCCTCTCCCACCCCCTCTCTCCAAGCCTCACAATCGCCATGCAGCTTTCCTGCCTTGGGGCCATGAATCCAACAAGGCACAACCTAAGAAGCGTGGCATGCGTGTTCTATGTAAGAAAGGAAGAGGGCCATGCCTCGTCTGCCTCCCTGTGGCGATAGGGCCTTCCCCTGCATGCATGCATCCACATGGCATGGCGGTGAGTGCACGTCGCTCACTTCACTCATGTGGGTCACTCACTCACTCACTCACGCCCATTCCACCCACCCGAACAGGCTCAACGCGCATGAGGTGGAAGTCCCCAAAGTCCACCTGCCATGCACGCACGAAATGCACGCACACGCACATGCGAGACACACAAATGCACGGCCAGTGCGGTGAGGAAATGACGGCGCAAATGGCACGTGGGGGTTGTCAGTTGCGGGGGTTGCGGGGCATGCATGGTGCACGCATGGGCACAGGCATATCAAAAGGTTAAAAAACTGCTAGGCTCTTCACAGAAGCAGAACGGGTGCATCAGGTGGGAGGAGGAGACTGGGAGAAAGAAGGCGAGATAGAGCGAGTGCGCACCCAGAAGGCAGTGGGGTGTCTCTTGAGGTATGCCTCGCGCACTGCCGCCCTCTCACTCTCGTCCACCTGCCATGGCATGTAGGGGAGAGAGGGGAGATGCGCATGTGTTGCGCGTGTTTCAACGCAAGGCTGGGACATGGCTGGCAATGCAGAAGAGAGAAAGAGGGTCGTGGTGAACAGAACAGCACACAGGCTTGCTGAGAGCGAGAATCTGAAGGGGAGAAGACAAGCCGGTATGGTGCTGGCAGGCACCAGTGCAGAGCGAAGAAAGGGCTGCTGAACAAAGGGCTTCAGGTGCAAGCACATCACAAGCACGCGGTGCCCTAGGTGCAGAGCGATCAAAGGGCCGGGAGCGTGCAGCAGCAGCAGCCTTGCAGCAGCCTTGCAGCAGCAGGAGGTACCGGGGTGGCGCGTGCAACGATGGTGACGACGGTGTCGCTGGTGACGAGAGGGTTGCGCGACACCAGCAGTGAGCAGCGCGGGTCTGCCAGCAGATCCTGGTGGGTGCAAGGGGAGAGAGAGAGAGGTGGTGGGGAGGGCGTGGAGAGTTGGGGTGGAGAGAGAGAGAGGTGGGGAGAGGCGTGGCAGCAGAGCAGTGTCCACTGTTCTGGTACAGCAAGCAGGTGGGTACAACAAGCCCTTGGTGATTTAATGCTGCACCAGAGCAGCGCCCTTCGTACAAGCCCTCAGCCTGTGGGTTACCACAGCGCTGCTACACTTCCTAACGACGTCAAATTCAAACAACCTGCAAGAAGAACATGTAGCAGCCAGCTTTACCAGCTTCATTTCACGCAGCCCAATTACGCCATACACATATTGGCTTGCTTTCGACCATACTTTCCCAGCAACGCCAGGCACAACACAATCCACAACATGCATGGCCGATCACGAATCTTGCAAGCCGTCATGGAAATGACTCTGTATGGAGTTAGCATAGAGGTTAAATCTCGCTTATTACGACGGTGTTGACTTGCACAGTACAGTACGACCGACAGCCTCATTCTTCACAAAGTCGAGCATTCTCCTCCAGTCCACCGACGCGCTGCTTCGAACATGCTCTCCCTCAACCAAACCACGCACTTTCTTACTTATCATGCCTTCAGGGTCTCGGGTCTCTAGCAGGCAAAAGAGTGACACGTCACGACCATGAGGGTGTAAGGACGTGGGGTGGGGATTGATTACAGCGGTGTGTGGCGAGAGTGCGCTGATGGCGAGGATGGGGCGGCCCTGGTCGTCAGAGGCGTATGTGACCATGGAGCCAAAGGGGAATCCTTCAAACTTCTGATCATGGGGCGCAGATGGGTGCAGTGCGGTGAGGGAACGGGTGGGCAGGGCAGGGAGAGTAGCAGAATGAGGGGGTGAGCAGAGCAATGGGCAGAGTGCATGAATGGGATGTGCAGCACGGCCTAATGGGATTGTGGGATGTGCCACACATGGGATGTATGCCGATGGAAGGATGGTGATGGAGGGAGCATGTGAGAATGTGAGCATGCGAACATGTGAGCATGTGAGCATGTGTGAGCGGGACCTGAGAGTAAGTGGAGAGCACTCCGCGAGTGCTTCTGTCCACGACTGTCCTCGCCTCCTCCGCGGGTGACAGCTTTGGCACTGCTTGCTGCACACGCATGCACACTCAATAGGAGGAGGGAGGGGGCCGGAAGGAGGGGAGGGGACGAGGCGAGGGAGAGAGGAGAAGGGAGGAGGAAGGTGAAAGGACGGGGAGCGGGGCCACAGAAATACATGACGACATGAGCTGCCAGATTGGGAGAGCAGGACAAGAGGAGTGGAAAGAAATTGTTGCATGTGACATGTGGCTGAGTGGCTGCGCGGCGGGAACGATATGTGAGACGAGCAGGGCGTGTGTGTGCACTTGTGCATGTGTGTACGCGTGCACGTGTTGCATGCGTGCATGCAAGCTCACCTGGTGCTCCTGGATTCGGGACCAGAATGCTGCCTCCTCCTCTGGGCTGCTCTCACCCTGCTGTGGGGTGCAGTGCGGTGGGGAAGGGGGGGGGGGTGTGAGGTGAGGTGAAGCGTGGGGGTTGGCAGGCAGCATCAGCTGAAACACCAGGAGAACACAACATGCCTCTACATGTGCCCTTGCAATCTGCAGCGCTCTGCTCGTTTCCCCATAGTGCCACCTCCACATAGCAGCTTCCCACACCCAATTCCCCATGCCCATCCCCCATGCCCATCCCCCATGCCCATCCCCCATGCCCTTCTACCCATCCGTGCAAATCCCCCCATCCATGCCCATCAACCCATCCATCCCTCATGCCACGCCCATCCCGGGGTGATTTTTTTCCACTCGTATCTACCCGCCAGCGCTTGGGAGCCAGCCCACCACGCGCGTCAGCAACCCTCCATCCGCTCTCAATCACTCTTCCGCTTGCCCTTCCCCCCGCCCCTCCTCCCTCTCACCCCCGCATCGCCGCCAGCAGCAGTCACCATGCTCCGCCGCCTCCCCAGCTTCTCCGCCCTCTTCGCGATACGTCCGCCCGTCCGTCCCCCGCGCCAATCCCCGCCGGCAGAACCGCCATGCGCAACACCGCGGAGCCGCTGCGCGCGCAGCGCCGCTGGCCCAGCCGCTGCCGGCGCTACCACAACGAGCGCGGAAAGAGACTGGCGCGCGGCGAGGGCGGAAGTCCTGGGCGCGGCGAGGTGGAGAGAGGCGGCGAGGCGAAGCGCGATCATGGCTGGGGACGGGGAGGAAGCGGAGAAAGAGGGAGAGGACGATCTGAGGTTGCGGCGGCGGGCGTGGTGAGAGGCGTGCCAAATCAACTGCTGGAATTTGTTGCTCCGATTTTGATTGAAACGAGGATCCTCTAGGTCTGCAAATCCTGCTTTCTGTACCCTCTACGAACGGATTCGAGAAGAACTTCAGAAATGGGTTGAACAGAACTTATGCATTGTTTTCACATAAATTTTATATCGGGTGCATAGACTTCGCTGGAATAATCCTCGTTCAGGGTGTTACCTATGTTTTTGACAGCCAGTCATTGTGCAAGACGAATTCAAATTCCGCTGTAAAGAATCGATGTTAACGCGTACAGTCCCCCCTGTCTGCTGCCAAGCATCGCCCTCAAATTCCCTCCCGTGCCCATCCCAAGCCCCAGATTCCTCCTTCCATCGCGCATGCAAATCATAACCGCCCCATCATCGCACCTCGCTCTCTCCCCATCCACCACCACCCCTTCCCCGCCATCCCCGTCGCCGTCGCTATGTCGCGCCCGACCTTCCCTCTCGGTTCCGCAATCAGCGCCGTCGCCGCCGGCCTCGCGGCTCTGGCGGCGGCGGGAGTGGCGGCGCTGCAGCTGGGGTCGCAGCAGCGCCCGCATCTCGCGGCGTCACTTGCGGCCGTCGCCGCCGCGTTGCTGTTCTTGGCGCTGCCGGTTTTAGCACGAGGTATGGTGCGCAGGGGCAGACGGACGGATGTAGCACGAAGTACGTGCGCAGAGGCGCACGTAGCACGGATGTAGCACGTACGTAGCACGGATCCACACCCAATAACCACTCCTCTGGCTTCACCACCCCGCTCTTCATCGTTCCGCCACTTCCCCTCCCCCTCTTCACCCTCACCCCCCTTTTTCGTGGTCTCCTCCTCTCCCCTTCCTTCCCCTCCCCTCCCCTCCCCTCCCCTCCCCTCCCTTCCCCCGCCCCGCCCCGCCCCGCCCCGCCCGTCCTCCCAGCGTGGCACTGGCTGCGCGCCACACTCGCCCGTCGCGCCACGCCGCATGGGAGCGGCTCTCAGAGCGCTGATCCCAGCGCCACCGCACGCGCGTCCTCCGCCCTGCCTCGCCCGCTGCGCGACCCACCGTGGCAGATGCCTGTGCACGCGCTGTGCGGGTGAGTGAGTGAGAGGCATTCTTGGCTAATCCAGCACCACGGGATCTTCTGGGCCACGGCACTTGCTTGGCTCCGCCTCTCCGCGGGTGTGGGGCATTCACATGCACGGCACTTTCTGGGGAATCCACGGCATGGCACATCCTGGACTGTGGATTGTATACAAGCGCGCCCTAACACCCCCAATGTCTGCCCTCGTCACGTCACTGTCCCCCTCGCAGTCTCCTGGCAACGTCCCCCCTGCACGGCCTTTCCACTGCTGCCGCCCACACACGCCTTATCGCTGCACGCAAGGGCGGCGAGGAGCAGAGCCGGGGCGGCATGGCGTGGACGGACGTGCTGGGGTGCTGCGTGGGTGCTCTGAGAGGCGCTGCCCAGGTGAGAGGGGCTCATTGCCGCTGTGAGAGGGGCGCATTGCTGGTGTGGGGCGAGGGGTGTGGGGCGAGGGGTGTGCATGGCGTAGCATATGGATGTACGTGTAGTGTGGAATCATGTGCTGAAGCGCACCCACTGATGCATTCCCATTCACACGGCACCCCTCACTCTCCCTCCCTTCCACCACCCTCTCCTCCCTCCACGCACAACATGCACGTTGCTCTGCAAGACAAGTTCCCGCCAGCGCCTGCCTGCCTCTGTTCTCGTCTCTTCTCCCTCCTATCCTTGCACCCTGCTTCTCCACCTCTCTCCCCTCACTCCCCTCCACACCCCCCTTTCCCCCACCCCTTTCCCTCCCCTCAGACGTGTCTACTGCTCTGTGCCTCGCTCTTCCTCCTCTCAGGCGACTTCCCTCCAGGCCTGCTCGCTCTGCTGCTCGCCGCCTTCTCTCTGTTGCTTCAGGTGGGCCTCAGGTGCCGCCTCAGGTGGATAGAACACCACCTGCACCAGGCATCCCTCACCCTCCCCAGAACCCTAGTAATCCGAAACAGCTGCATAGAATCAGTCCCTGCAAGCACAGTGGTAGTAGGAGACCTGGTGATGCTTATAAAGGGGATGGAGGTCCCTGCAGATACACTTCTGATCTACACTGCTGCACTGCTATTGGACGAGGCGCCCATTCACGGCATGCTGCATGCGCCCTCCCTCAAGTCCCACCTCCCCCCGTCCGCCTCTGCTGTTGACCCGCGTCTCTGTGCCAATGTGGCCCTTAGGGGGTGTGCTGTGGAGGAGGGGTGGGGGGTGGGCGTGGTGTATGCAGTAGGGGGGGATGCTGTGCTGGGGGTGCTTCTGGGGGAGCGAGCAGGGGAGGAGATGGATGGGAAGAAAGGGAAGAAGGGGAAGGGAGGGGGAGGGGTGGGGGAGAAGAGACAGGGGAGGAGGGATGAGTGGGAGGAGGTGATGGGAGAGGATAGTGATGGTGATGATGATGATGGGGATGAGGAGGAGGGGGGCATGGTGGGCATGTTGGAGGTAAAGCAGGACGAGGGACAAGGGGACTGGGTGCCATGCGCCGAGATGAGTCACACCCCGCTTCCCCCAACCACTCCCAACCATCTGTACCACTCCCAACCGCATCCCGACACGCACGACAACACCACTACCACTGACGCTGATATCCCAGGCACCCACGTCTGGCCCGCCCCATACTCCCCCCTCCCCTCCGCGCTCCTCCCTTCGCGCGTCTCCACTCTCGCCCTCCGCCTCTCTCGCCTCCTAGGCTTCTCCGGTGCGGCCGTGGCAGTTGTAGCAGCGCTGCTCTTCTCGCTCCGCCAGCGCCCCTGGCAGGACTGCCTGCTGCTGCTGCTCTCCCTGCTGCTGCTCTCCCTGCCCGACTCCCTGCCCCTGCTGCCCGCAGTGCACCTGGCAGAGACAGCCATGGGGCTGAGGCGGGCAGGCGTGGTGGTGCGCGCGGGTGGGCAGAGAGCGGTAGAGGCGGTGGCGCTGTGCCGCTCTGCTCTCTTCCATGCGCCGCTGCTGCCACACGCCCCTGCTCTTGGTGCCTCTGCAATGGAGGGTCGTGAGATGCGGGGTGATGGGCGCGGTGGGGGGGGTGGGATGGAAGGAGGAAGGGGGCTTGATGCGGGGGTGTGGGGAGGAAGAGGAGGGGCGGATGGGGTGGAGGTGGCAGCAGTGTTGCTGGCAGATGGGGCCTGCGTCACTACTGCTGCCGCCTGTGCTACTGGCGTCTGTGCTAGCAGTGTGTGCGTGCAAGGGGAGGAAGAGGGTAGAGGGAAGGAGGTGGTGAAGTGTGGAGTGGCGGTGAAGGGTGCTGGGGATGGGGATGGGCGAGGCAGCGAGGTTGTGGGTCAGGGAGGCGGGGAGGAGGAGAGGGGCAAGAGCAGCAGCCACAATGCACCATCGCCCTCGCCCTCGCGATTACTAGTGCTGTTGCACTCCCCATCACCATCACCATTACCATTACCATTACCTTTGCAATCCCCATCACCATCACCACTACCATTACCTTTGCAATCCCCATCACCATCCCCATTACCATTACCTTTGCAATCCCCATCACCATCCCCATCACCATCCCCATTACCATCCCCATTA